CAGACGAAGGCACAAGAAGGGGCATTCCGAACTGGGGAACTGAGATCGTTTTTTCCTGGTGTCAGAGTTTTGGCATTAACAGCAACAGCATCAAAATGTCTGCAAAATCAGATTAAGGAAAGTTTAATTATGCAGACTGCAAAGTTGTAAATGTTTGCCCAAACAGAGATAACATCAGACTATCTGTTTTGAAGATTCAACGAGGTATCCCATCAACATTTTATTGAATGATCGACAAGCTACGAGAAGATCTACATGAATCCCCAAGGACAATAGTATACTGTTCATGCAACAGGAACACTTTATCATTTTTTTTAAGGAGGAATACCCTCAATCAGTTGATTATATAGGCATGTACCACAGCGAGACGGATATTACAGTCCAGGAATCGCACTTAAAAGAGTTTACTAAATTATCTACTTCTAATTTTGAGATTAATTTTTTGTACAACAGCTCTTGGTATGGGCATTGACATGAAATCAACATACCATGTACTTCACTATGGGCCATCATTTGATCTCGAGAGCTATATACAAGAATCTGGCAGAGTTGGAAGAGATGGTAAACCACCTCATGTCGTGTTATTTTATCACGGTGGAATGTTACGCGACATTTGTCCAAAAATGATACTCTCTGTAGGAGAGTTAAATTATTTGAAGATTTTACATCTAGTAAAGACTTAAAAAACAAGGAATCACATCACAACTGCTGTGATATATGTGAACAGAACTGTTCTTGTAGTAATTGCGACTCTCATGCTAACTATATAGAACAAGTCATTGTCAATGACATGTCCCCGTTCCGTTCATATTTGAGTGACATATACATTCAAAGCAGATCATGACCGAAATGCACCTGCATATGTACAACACATTGTACTAAATCTGAACAAAATCTATCCATGCATGACTGAGATCCGGCACCGGAATTGGGAAAATACGTGATTTTGATACATTTTCGGCCTTAAAATGGCCATCATTCAGCTAAGCCGATCACGAAACGAATGCACATATCTATTTGTGACATGATGTACCATGTGTGTGTGAAGTTTGAACTTGATCAATCCAGACATGTCTTGGATATGGATCCAGAACTAAATTCTTCAAAACAAAATGGCCGCCAGTCGGCTATTTCGAACTTGATCCGAAAAAAAAAATTACGTGCATCAAGGTCCTATTATGTTTAATGTATGTACCAAATTTGAACGAAATCTGTCCATGCATAACTGAGATCCGGGTTCGGAATGGTGAAAATGTGCGATTTCAATGCATTTTCGGCCTTAAAGCGGCTGCCATTTGGCTATCGTTAATGAGATCATGAAACAAATGCACATACATATTTGTGACATGATGTACCTTGTGTGTGTGAAGTTTGAACTTGATCAGTCCAGACATGTCTTGGATACGGATCCAGAACTGAATTCTTTAAAACAAAATGGCCGCAAGTCGGCCATTTCGAACTTGATCCGAAAAAAAAATGACGTGCATCAAGGTCCTATTATGTTTAATGTATGTACCAATTTGAACGAAA